CCACTCTGACCCACTCTGACCCACAGACTGGTCTTTCTGTGTGGCTGTTATTTAAAGTAGTAAGCGGTGCTGCCTTGCAAGAAACAAGAAGAGCCTGGCTTCAAATCTGCTGGTCTCTGTAGAGTTTGCAGAGGTTTTGTGCTTTAGTTTCCTTTTTGACAAAATTGAAACACATGTATTTATCGTTTTCTAGCCTTCTTACCTTTTACGATTTTCAGTGTTCAACATCTGACATGGTCACCTTTTCAACAAGCTTTTTCAGTGTTGGGTGAATTCAGCTGCACAGATCTACACGTGATGGAGTAAAATAACAACAAGTCTTTCCAAAATAACGGTTATTTTACACTTTCATTGTCGCTGACATTTGCTAATGAGTGAGCAGAACAGAAACATCATTGACACTGTCTGTCAAAATAAAATAGGTGTGTTTTGAAAGGTGCGGAATCGTTTGTTGAGACACCATCTCGTTCTTTACGTCCCAATATGTCATGTCATAAAACATCTTTAGGCAGGTGTTATAACCTTGCGATATATCAGTCAGAATCACAGCACACCCAGTTTCTCACCCACACCGTCGTGTGATGAATTAATTTGATGTTCGCCTGGTTGATGAGGGTCATATTATCTATCAAGGCTGTAGGTTTTTATGCGCATAGAGTACTGAATTAGTTATGCAATTATTCATGCAAATAAGCTCTTATTCAGCATCATTAGAGTGAAAATTAAGATTTTTCAGCATTCAAGAGCCTCTCACACTCTTGCTCTATCTATCTTTCTCCTAGTACTGATGTGATTAAAAGATTTTTATGACTAAATGCTCCAGTAGAGCAGAAATAATGTTATTGAAACTGTAAAACAAAGCGAGAAAATCCATGTCAGACATCCTTTACTTCTCCTTTCCTATTTTTCGACTTTTCCTTTCTGCTGAAAAAATGAAACTTGTTTTCCATCAGACGCACTCGCATTTTTTAATTGAGTTTTTCCTGTTTCTAATTTTGCCTCCAAAACCTGATTCTAATATGAATTTAAAATAATAAGTACTTTAAAAAAAATGTAGAGGAAATTATTTTGGTTTCTGCCTTTCAGTGCCACCAACACCGATTGCACCCCCCCAGCTTTTGCGGGCAGGTCCCACCTATCTGATCATCCAGCTCAACACTAACTCCATCGTGGGGGATGGACCGGTCATTCGGCGGGAAATCCAGTACCGGGCTAGCCAGTCCACTTGGACAGAGACTCATGGTGTGGGTTCGCTTACATACAAGGTCTGGCACCTGGAGCCAGACACAGAGTATCACATCAGTGTCCTGCTAACCCGGCCTGGGGAAGGAGGCACCGGAGCACCCGGGCCCCCACTGATCAGCAGGACAAAGTGTGCAGGTAAGTCACTTTAAAGGTCACAGTGTCCTCAAAAAAGAGTACACAACATCAAAGTTAATTAGGCTTCAGTTACAGACAGAAAGAAAGCTGCTCTGGCATCAAGAGATTCTCTCCTTAGTTAGAATAAACCTCAATAGGTGGGACAATATATATTAAGACCCTTTACATGTTAGAATGTGTGGTGCATAGAAATAATGGACATTAAATTTAGACTTACACAGCAGAAAAGAGCAGCAAATTCTTACACTTTTGATAATGGGAAATGCTCAAAATATGACCTTGAATCAAAAGACTATGCTTCTGTCTGTCAGGTAAAACCTAACACTTATTGGTGCAGCATTACTTCCTCTTACATAATGTCCATTTCACTAGCTGGGCCCACATCCTCATCTAAGTTTGACAGC